CACTGCGGGCAGCAGCCTCCGGGGGGCAGCACCGGCTCGGGACAGGGCGGAGGCGGGCAGCGGCGGGCCAGGCACTGCACGTTGCCGCTCTGTGGAAGGGGCAGAGGGACGAGGCCAGGCCGGGTTAGAGAGACGAGGCCGGAGATCGCCGCCCTCGCACCCCACCCAGTGGCCTCTCCCGGCCTCCCCAAGTCCCGCCCCAACCCTGGCCTCCTCCAGGACGCATTCACCAGACAGCGACACAGGCGGCAGGGGTCCGAGGGATGGGGGAAGTCCGCTCCGTTGGAGTACTCTTTCCCGCCAAAGGCGCAGCCTGGGGGAGGCGGCAGCTCTAGGCCCGAGGGAGACCCCTGTGGCCTGTGCGAAGGAGAACCCTCCCCGCCTCACCGCTGCAGTCGCTGTGGCAGCAGGTCCCGGGCCGCGGGTGGGTGCAGGGAGCCCGGGGGCAGGCGCGAGGCTGGCAGTGCGCGTGGCCTTCCTGACAGTAGCACTCTTGGCAAGGGTCTCCAGGGTGGGAGAAGTGCTGGCCATCCATAAACACCTGCTTCTCCAGGATGCAGTCTGGGCAGTGGAGTGGGAATGGGGGAAAATGGTGACAGCGGGTGACAGCCCCTTGTTTTGGGGTTTTTTTTTTTGTTTTTTTCCCCGGTACCGGGAATCGAACTCACGACCTTGCGCTTGCCAGGAAGGCGCTGTACCACTGAGCTAAATCCCCAGACACAAAACAACTTTTTTTTTGTTATTTTTGGTTTTTTTTTGAGACAGGGTCTCACTATGCAGTTCAGGCTGGCCTTGAGTTCACTTTGTAGCCCAGGCTGGCCTCGAACTAGCAAGGATCCTCCTGACTCAGCCTCCAGAGTGCTGGGATTACAGGCATGCGCCACCACGCCCTGCCACAGCCCCTTTTTCAGGGAAGTCCAGAGCCACCAAGAGGTGCTGGCTTGGAAGCTGAGTCCCTGGAGGGAGAGGGTTGTGTGCAGTGCATGCAGACCCTATTGCTCAGAGCATTCACGTGCGCGTGCGTGTGCGTGTGTGTGTGTGTGTGTGTGTGTGTATGTGTGTGTGTGTGTGTGTATGCATTTTGGCCCTGCCCCCCGCAGGCAGATGTGTCTCTGAGGGTGCAGAGGTGAAGAGCTTATGCCTGTGTGCCCTGGCTTGTGACAGCCACCCTAGCACAGGCTCTCCACGTGGGCAGGAATTGTGTCCCCTGCACCCAAGCACCCACTCCCCTACATACAGATGCAGACATGGTTGTGAACCTGGGTCACACAGGTGAGAGTGAGTGTACCTGAGAGGTGAGGCCTTGGAGGAGGAAATGCAGGGCAGGAGGAAAGGGACAGCAAACCTCTCCTCTCTTCCCACCCACAACCCGTGAGCACCAGAGAATTCTTCGTGGTGTGGGACCAAAACCAATGCAGAAAGGTGTTGATTTTGAAGGTATCTGACCTGCCCACAGGCCTGTTAGAAGTGAGCTGTACCTGGACACCTGGGGCAGCACTGGCCGGGTGGACTCTGGGGCCTGGCACAGGTGGTGGGAGGGCAGTCGACCACAGAACACCTCGCAGTCCCGTCCTGAGAGCAGGGACAGGCTTGCGGCAGCCCCAGGAGGGCTCGCAAGGCAGTGGCAAGCCAGGCAGGTGCTGTACCTCGCAGTGGCACGTGTGGCAAGGGCTGTCCGTGTCCGTGAAGTTCTGCCCGTTGGCGTACACGCGGCCATGGTAGGTGCAGCTCTCACAGCTGGGGCAGCAGGCACCTGGGTGGGGCAGGCCGGTCAGGCGGGCAGGGTGAAGCAGGGGAAGAAAGCCAGGGTGGGGCCGGGGCGCTCACCGGGTGGCTGGCTGGGGTGCTGGCAGGGGGGTGGGGAGCAGAGCACAGGCCCACAGACGGGCACCCCATCTTGGCAGGAGCAGGCCATACAGGGCTGACCATCGGGCTGCCACCGGACCCCCTCAGCAAACTCCTCTCCATCCAGCACACAGGCTGCAGTGATGAGGGGCTGTCACCATGGCAACCGGAACACTCACCACCCATGCTGTCTTTTCCAGCCCTCAGGGTCCCCAGTGTGCCATTCTCCTGGGCCCTCTGAGCCCCTTAAACTCTCTTCCTTACTGCAAGGGAACAGCCTCCTCCCATACACCCACCTGGGCAGCACCCACCTGGGCAGAGCCTCGGGCCAGAGCCGGAAGGGGCACAGGGGGCAACTGGGCACTCCTGCTCCTCACAGGAGACCTCGCCAGCCTAGGAGGGAGGCCGGGTGAGAGGCCCTGAAGGAGCAGACAGGCTGGGCGGGAGACGGTGGGACTGCCCACCTGGCACGAGCAGCGGACACAGCGGCCGCTCTCCTGGAGGCTGAAGGTCTCCTGGCTCTGATACTGGTGTCCCTGGTACTCGCAGCCTGGATGGGAGGACAGGTGGCTGGGGGAGCAGGGCTGGCACCTGAGGCCCCCAGCCCCTCCTCACACCACAGAAGCACAGCTCCCGCCAGTCCCTACTTTTCCCTGAGAAGGGGAGGCGCGGACTCGCCTGTGGGGACAGCAGCTTAGGTGCAAGGAGGCCAAGCCCTTCACCGCCCAGAGGCGCCCTGCAGCCAGGGCCTGCCCCTCGCCAGCAGTCACAGCTTCTACTCACCACCGCACACCGGGCAGCACTGCCCAGAGATCCTGCCTGGGTGTCTGCAGGGCACAGGTGGGCAGGGCAGAGGCTCACACTGGACGCTCCCGTTCTGCCAACAGGGCGTGGTCAGTGGGCGGCAGGCAGGCCCAGAAGCCAGGCCGGCCCTGCCAGGCAGCCACACTCACAGCACAGCGGCAGCGTGAGCAGGGATCCCCGGAGCCCACAGGCTCCCCGCTGCGGTGCTCCCGCCCGTTTAGGAAACAGCCTGTTGGGAAGAGGAGCACAGGCGGTCCTCAGGGGCCTCGCCGGCTCACTGCTGGCCTTTATGGGAAACTCGGGCTGGGCCAGCAGTCAACTGGGGCTCTGTTCCAGCCACTGACTCACCATCGCACACCGGGCAGCAGGTGCCTGGGAGGGGCCGGGCAGGGTATGGGCAGAGGCTGGCACACTCTCGCTGGCGGCACTGGATGTGGCCCTCCTGGTGGGGATGACAGGGGAGGGGCTGTCAGGGTTTCGGTAGATGGCAGAAAGAGCATTGCAGTCCTATCCTTCTGGGCACTGGATGTTATGGGCGAATTGCACCCCCCTAGTTATGTTAAAGTCCTGGCCCCTGGCACCTCAGAATATGACCTTATATGGAAATAAGTCTGCTGCAGATGTAGTTAGTTGAGACGAGGTCACACTAGAGCAGGTGCGTCCCTAATCCAGCACGACTGGTGTACTTTTAACTAACTAACCTTAGACCCCGCACAGAGAGCCTAGCAATGCCAGCAAGACTGCCCCCACCCCTAGCTGGGAAAGGCACAGAGCAGATTCTCCTGCACAGCCCTCGGAAGGTGCCAACCCTGCCGTACATTGACTTTGGACTGAGATCACATTTCTGCTGTTTACACCACTCAGTCTGTTGTCCTGTTACAGCAACCCTAGGAAACTAATAGTGCACCGATGTAAAACCCAGCATGTTACGCAAGCGCTCTGTGACTCAGGCTGCCTATCTGGAAAGATGGACAATAGTCCTATCCTCCGAGGCTTGCGATGGGAATGAGACGAAGGGAGGTGTCAGTGTGACGCCCACCTTTGCAGCTGGTACTTAACATGATAGCTGCTCCCCTCCCCCAGCCTGTTCCCCCCAGATACCATTCCTTGAGTTCACATCTGCACGCTTGGGCTCTCTGCCTCCAGCCTTGCCAGGGCACCCAGTGACTCTTCTCACGGGTGTGTCATGTGAACAGGAAGGGCATGGGAGCTGGGCATCCCAGTGGCCTTCACAAGAGTCTTAGTCTTTATCAGGCTGTCAGGAAGCTCCACAACACTCACCTGCCTGATAGGAAGGCCTTCGGGTCCCTGGCTTCCTGCCCTTTCTTCACTGCTCCCACAGTATCTTCTCCCACCTTCCCCTCCTCAAACCCAACCCATCCATTAAGGCCTAGGCAAGCACCACCCCTTCCACGACATTGCTCTAGATCCGTTCTACCCAAGAGCAAAGTATGGCAAGCCACTAAGATGTGTGTCCGATGGTGAATCGGTGGGTCCCCAACCCAAGAGAGGGTCTCTAAAAGCTGTTAGAGTATAAGCTAAGTGGAAAGCTTAGTGCAAGCTGTTAAATTCTCCCACACCCAAGTTTGGGATTTTTTTTTTTTTAGTCAGGGTCTCACTATGTAATCCAAACTAGCCTAGAACTTGTTATGTAGCTCATGCTACCCTCAGACTCACAATTCTCCTGCCTCAGCTTCCCAAGTGCTGTATTATAGGTGTGTACCACCTGCCACATTAAAAAAAAAAAAAAAAAAACATAAAAGTAAACTAAAGCAGAACATGGTGTAATAGTTCACGCCTGTAATCTCAGCTACTTCGGAAACTGAGGCCAGCGTTGGCAGTTTAGCAGCCAGATTCTGTCTCAAAGTAAAATTTTTAAAAGTACTGGGGATGTAGCTCAGTGGTTGAGTGATTACCTAGCATGTGTGAGGCCCTGGGTTTAATCCCACAAAAACGTTTTAGCAATACAGTCTATTTGCCCAGTATATCCAAAATATTATTTCAACATGTACAGTAATCAATGCAGGATATCAATAAGATATTTTACATCCCTTTGTTCTAAGTCTTTGAAATTGGTGTGACCGCACACTTACGCACACATTCAGTGGCCACACGTAGCGGTGCCACCCAAGTGGATGTCCCAAGACAAGCTCCCTGCAGCTTTTGCTGCTGTGGTATCCTGCTCTGTCGCTTCCCCTCCTTTGAGTCAGGATCACAAAGCTCCTGCGAACCCCGGGACTCAGAGTGTGCCCAGCTGAGCACGCCAGGCCTGGTGCTCACGGCATCCAGGATTCTGTCCTCTCCATCCCTGCCCCCTCCCAGGGCCCACAGATGCGCTCACCGGAACGAGGCTGTGAATCCAGAGAACCCAAGGGCAGGGTGGGTTAGCGACGGGACTCACCAGGCATTGGCAGATCCGGCAAGGGTCCCCGGCTGCGGTCCACTCTTGGCCATGGTCCCTGTGAATGCCACCTTCTGTGCAGCCTGAGGCTGGGTACAGAGGAGGCCCAGTGGGAGGTGGCCCAAGGCTCCCAGGATGCCTTCACCAGACCAGGCTAAGCCTCTGCCTAGGCAGAGTGAAGCCCCCAATGGCAGACAGTGCCCCTTCCTCCACGGCACCGCCACGTCCAGCTGCCCAGCTACGGGTGTGTGTGTGTGTGTGTGTGTGTGTGTGTGCGTCCACACACGTGCTCCACGCCTCTCCCTTGAGGGTTTGGCCATTCATAGCTACTTGCACTGCGCCCGTAACATAAACCCCTCCGAAGGTCAGGTCCAAGCCCTCACTCACATTGCTCCCTCTTCCTGGAATGTCCTCCGCCTTCTTTGACCCATCACCCAGCTAACTGCTCTTTATCTTAAGGGGGTCCTTGGCACCAGCTGCCTCTGGAGTTGTTTCCCTCCTGGGCCCAGCTGGACTTAGTGGTCTTCTGAGTTTTCTCAGTAGCTGGCCCCTGCTTTTATTCCTGACTGTGACATTTGTTTCTTGCATTGGTGTGACTCAGGGTCACCCTCTAGTGGTCATCATGCCTGAGGGCACTCCCCTCATCCTTGGTGCTGGGGTGCTGAAAACTGGTGATAATGGTCATTTATTACCCGCGTGGTGAGGTCTAGAATACCACTATGGGCATCTGAGAAATGGGGAAATGGAGGCACAGAGTGACTTAGAGTCACACAACCACTAAGTGACAATGGCAGAATTTGAGCTGAGGCATTGCAGCTCCAGAGCCGGCTTGGACTGGCATTACTCCCCCATCCCCAAGCCAAATCAGAGGCCACCGGGATGGGCTGTGGAGGTGAAGAAATGGCATGAGCGTCTGCCAGGGACTCCATGAGGGAAGGGTCAGCGGCTCTCACCTTGGCAGGCTGGACAGCAGTGCCCAGGCCTCAGAACTGGCTCAGGGCAGGGACTGGGTGGGCACTTCACAGGCACACAGCGAACCAGGCTCCTCTGTAACACACCAATAGCTGTAGCTGCCCTCAGGTCTCCCAGAGGAGCAGGGCGGGCTGGAGCCAGGCAGTGATGGAGCGAGGGCCTCCCTGGCACCAGCTCTCACAAGGCGTACTACAAACGCCTGAAAGAGTGGCTGGCAGGGCCCAGCCTGGGGCCTCGGCGGTGGTGGCAGAGGACTCACCAGGCAGGAACACTGGAGACAAGGGTTGGAGATGGACAGGAAGCCGGCCCCCTCTTCATAAAGCCGCCCTTCATGCTCACAGCCTGGGGAGGGGGCCAGGGTGCCAGGTGGGTCACTAGAGGGCAGGGGTGAGCATCCCAAGGGACGGCATGACCCCAAGTGGGAACTGGACCCTGTGAGGCTAAGGCAATGAGGGGCGGGCAGAGAGGGAGGTCACCTGGCCGGCAGACGGGGCAGCACTCCCCCGGTGGGGTGTAGCTCTCTGGACAGTTGAGCTCGGAGCATGAGGGCCCCTGGCACCGCACGGTCCCTGCCTGCAGGGCAGACATTGAGCCCCACCTCGCTTCCTCCCCACTGCCCGAGCCACGTACTCCGGGGGTCTTGCAGCCTAGCAGGCTCCAGGCCTCAGCCCCAGGTGGAGGCAGCAGCCGGGTCTGGCTCCAGATTAGGATGGGTATCAGCAGGCCTGGGGCCGCAGACACAGGTGGTAGCTGGGGCCAGGCCCTCATTCTCTTACCTGGCAGGTGCAGATGACACAGGGCTCTGGATGCCATGTTTCCCCTGACCTGTGGCCCTCAGGGCAACCTGCAAAACCAGACCCAGAGCGCTGGGTGCCACATCACAGTGGCACCACTCAGGATCCAGCTATCAGAGAGTTTTATATTTATTCCAGCCGGGCATGGTGGCCCATGCCTGTAATCCAGCACTCGAGAGGCTGAGGCAGGAGGATCATTGTGAGTTTGAGACCAGCCTGGGCTACAGAGTAAGCTCAAGGCCAGCCTGAACTGCATAGCAAGACCCTGTCTCAAAAAGAAAAAAAAAAAAAGAAAAAAAAATATATGTATATATTACAGCTTTCCAGCATGTGACAGTCAACTCTCTAATGTAAATATTTATGATTGATTGATTGATTGATTGATGGAGACAGGGTCTCTCTATGTAGTTGAGGCTGGCCTTGAACTCACTATGTAGCCCAGGCTGGCCTCAAAATTGTGCCAATTCTCCGGCCCCAGCCTCCCGAGTGCTGGGATTACAGGCATGCACCACTACGCCTGGCTCCTCAATGTATTTGTTTTATAATAGGTGGGAGTAAAGTGTCTTGAAGGAGTGTCTTTATTTTTTTTTAATTAAAGGCCACCATTACTCCAGCCAGTCACTAACTCCTGCCCATTGTTTAGAAACACCTCCCCTTGGCCAGGCGTGGTGGCGCACGCCTGTGATCCCAGCACTCAGCAGGCTGAGGCAGGAGGATCACTGTGAGTTCGAGGCCAGCCTGGGCTACAAAGTGAGCTCAAGGCCAGCCTGAACTGCACAGCAAGACCCTGTCTCAAAAACAAAACAAAACAAAACTAAACACAGAAACACTTCCCCTTACAGCCACCTACCATCCCTGGCTCCTGGCCGAGACAATGGCTGTAAAGCCCCCCAGCTGGTCTCTCTGCATCCAGCCCATGTCAGCTGAATATTCCTAAATATTCTATTGACTGTGCCACACTCTGGCTCTTCGGCCTTCAATCGTTCCCTACTGCCCACAGAAGCCCAACTGTAGACTTCTAACAGCTTGTTTCCACCAGCCTTCCCGGACTGGTTCCGGGAACATACTTCTCCGTGCCTGGTTCCCGTGCACACAGGGACCTGCAGTACTCCTCCTCCTGGAGAAATCTCACCTTCCCTTGAAGATCCAGCTCAAATGACCCCTGGCCTATAAAGACCTCCCTGATTGACCAACTACTCAGATGGGCGCCCCATGCCCTCCCTCCCATTCCTTCCTTGGCAAAGTATGTACTGCTTTCTGCATCTCTTAATCTGTTCTTTGGATCTTAAATCTTGTGTTCCATTAGCTGTAAATTTAGCTTCTCAACTAGACCAGATGCTCCCTGAGGGCTCTGATAAACTCTGACTCGGTTGCAGGCCAGGGTCTGCATTTGCTGGCTCCAGCGTCGGCTCTGCACTCCCCCAGCAGGGTCACCGCGTTCTCCCACTCCCCCACTCTCAGGTCCCCTAGAGCATGAGCGAGAGGGGGAGCCGGGCCTGTAGTAGGCTGACCTGGATCGCAGTGCGGGCAGCACGCTTCTGGCTCAGGGCAGGGTGCTCCTGGGCATGGCTTCTGCATGCAGGTGATGCCCCCTTCCTGTGGAAGCAGGCTAGGGTAACTGCAGGGCCTTCTGAACCCCAGGCAGGGATTTGTCCAGAAGCAGCAGATGCGTTGGGCTACCCTAGCCCAAGGGCAGAAAAGAGGTGTCCCATCCCACCCCATCCTTCCTGAAGCCCTTGACCCCCGGGGAACCCTCTTTTCCAGGTGCCAGGAACTTCCCCAGAATGGAGAGATCCTGGGAAGAGAACCAAGGGCTTTCTAATGGAGGAGTAAGAAAGAAAAAGCCAGAAGAAAAGGCTGTGGAGGCAAGTGACAGACAGCAGGCAGACGGGGAGTGTGAGGTAGCAGAGGGCGCGTGGTGAGGGGACGGCGCTGGTCACACAGGTGAGGGCTAGGGGGAAGAAGACAGCACCTACATCCTCTGCTCTCCACACCACTATTTGCCAGGGCCAGATCAAGGGGCTTGGGGCCTCTGGAGGTAGAGGTGCACTTCAGAGAGTGGAGCCCCTCAAGGTTGAGGGGAAGGGCAGGCAGAACCCATCATTCAAGATCTAACAACAGGGCTGGGGCTATAGCTCAGCGACACAGTGCCTGCCTGGCAGGTTCAAGGTCCTGAGTTCGATTCCTGGTACCAAAAAAAAAAAATCTAATCACAGCTCTTAGTGACAGGTAGCTGGAGGGAGGAGAGAGAGGCAGGTGTGGGATACCCGGTGGGTCATGGGAACTCACCAGGCAGCGGCAGGTGGTGCAGGCGTCTGGGGAGAAGGTCTCCCCGTCGCCATAGACCTGACCATTGTGGCTGCAGCCTGAGGAGTAGACAGTGTGGCATTCAGGCCCCAATGTCATCTCCAGGCCCTGAAGTGGCCCAGCGGGTGATGGGGTGGTACGAACCCTGGCAGTGGGGCAGGTCGGGCTGAGGGCCACAGCGCGCCTCCCCGTTCTGGCAGATGCAGGTGGTACAGGTGTCCAGCTCCCAGCGAGCACCCTCAGGCCAGGCGCGCCCCAGCCCCCAGCACTGGGCAGAGATGGGGCGGCACTCACAGGTCTCCAGCCGCCTCACCCTGGCCTGCAGGTCCTTGTTCTGGGGAAGAGTTGGGGCTATAGCTCAGCCTTCCCTACCATTTCCTGTGGATTCGTGAGGTACAAAAACTGAGGCAGGATGAGAAGGGAGTTTGACAGCTCCACAGAACAGGTGGGTCTCCCCCACCCACATCCACTTCAAATAGTTCTCAAAGAGCACAGGTCCATCCTTGGGCAGAAAGGGGACCTGTCCCCACTCAGTGCCCTGTACAGAGTAGGTGCTCCTTTGTGAAAGGGGACCGAAATCCAGATTGACATAACAAACACCCAAAAATTCTTCACTCATGAAAGAAGGGATGTTGTTGGGGTTTTTTTGTTTTTTGAGATAGGGTCTCACTCAGGCTGGCCTTGAACTCACTATGTGGCCCAGGCTGGTCTCAAACTCATGGTAATCCTCCTGCCTCAGCCTCCTGACTGCTGGGATTATAGGCATGCAATACCACGCCTGGCCAAAAACAGATGTTAAGGACTGTTCAGATGAGACCTTCTCTGTGTGCTTTTAAAATGAAATTATTTTAGCGTCCCCAGACCCCCCCACCCTCTCTTCTCCTCCCAGTATGGAAAAGCCTACCCCACCCCAAACATCCAGCCTTGCATCCAGGTTACCTGCTCGCTGAGCTTGGTCACCTCAGCCTCCAGCTGCCCCAGCCGTTCCTCCAACGGGTGCCGCTGTTTCTGGGGGCTCCCAACAGGGACTGAGGAGTGGGCAGGTGCCTGGAGCTGGTAGTCATGGATGTCAGCGAGCCCAGGCGGCTCCCTGAGGACAGCCCCACCTGAAGGGCACAAGAATCCCCCAGAGGGCAAGGGCTAGTTCTGTGAACCAAGCAGGGGAGAGTCATGTTGTGCGCCTCCATCCAGGGAAGGGAACATAGTCTGGGTTTTTGTCTCAAAAAGATGACAAAAAAAAAAAAAAAGAAGAAGACTAGGATCATCCATCCCCCTGGGCCAACAGTGGCCTAGGAACCTGACACGTCCCTGACATGTCCTGCTGGGAGGGCCCAAAAGCCAGCACAGGCTGACGTGCAGGAAGCCTAAGGCAGCGACTTCTGTGTGGGTAACCCCATGCCCACCCTGCACCTGTCAGAAAGGGCACCACTCTGGGAGGAGGGGCTCAGGGAAGGGCAGCCCCTACCCCCTGTCCACCTCCAGCCTGACCACTGTTTCCTAGGCCTGTGGCCATGGGCCTGGGGCTCCACATGGGGAGTAAGTGGCTCTAGAACTGGAGACCTGACTGCATTTCCTGAAGGATTTGGGGGAGTGTAGGCAAAGCCTCCACGAGCTTCCAGCATCCAGGCCCTGGGAAGACAGCCTGTCCCTGGTTCCGGACACGCTGCATGGGAGAAGGGAGGGCATCCGAGCTCAAGCCTGGGGCTGGAGAAAGGTCGACCTCACCTTCTCACCTCCATCCTGCTCTCCTGAGCTAGGAAAGCACAGTGGGGGCGGGGCCGGCGGACCCCCGGGGGCTCTTCCCACAGACATCCGGGTGGGATGGGCAGCAGTGGGGGGCAGCAGAGGGCCCTGAGGAGGAGGTGACAGCCGGAGGCCCAGGAGAGGACTGGCCTTCCCAGGGCAGCTCAGCAGGGCCAGCCTGGGGTGGGTGGAGGGCTTCTCAAGGACACTGCCCGAGCCAGGGAAACAACGTCCCCCTCCTCCCCGCCAGTCCCGCCCCCGCCACCGGGAGAGGGCACTCTAGTCCAAAACCTGCTTTGCCCCAGCTCCTTGGCTTGATTAATGCCGTCCCACCGACCCACTTACCTAAGCAAGAAATGTGCAGCCCCTCTTGTGCACCCGCCCCAAACCCATCAGTCTCTGAGCCACCCCTACTCTGGTCTCCTCCCAGCTGGCTACAGCCCTCTCCCAGCAGGGCCTTTGTAAATGGAGGGCGGGGGGCAAGTTCAAATGGGACCCCTCACCGGCGGGCCCCTCTTTCCACCGCCACGGGAGTGCTCAGCACCCCAGCTCCCCACGCACGCAGGGTATCCTGTCACCAGGAGCCCCGTGCTGCCCTGGCCCAGCGCTTGCGCCCGCCTTCCTCCCCATCCACAGGGGGGCGCCCCAAGGCGGGGTCTCCGAATCTGAACCCCTCCGCCAAGCGGGCTCCCGGCGGGCTCCCCTGCCCAGGGGCTGCACCCCAGCTGGCTCCTCTGGTCCTGCTTCAGCAGCGCAGTTAGAGACCCGGGGCGCGCGGCTCCTGGGGCAGCCTCGCGTGAGGACCCGGACGCTTTCCCGAAGGCCTTCTTCTGAAGGTGGCAAAGCCCGCCTGCTCCTGGGGACTGTCCTCCCTCCCAGCTCCCCTTCGGGCCTCCCCCGCCCTTTCCCTGCAGCCCCCCCCCCTTCCCGCCGGCCCCCTGCGGGGAGGGACGCAGAGGCTCCAAGTCGGCTCCCACAGCAAGCTCCGTCCCCCCCCCCTCCTTTCCCATGACAAATAATTAACTTCAGACTCTCAGATGCCAGAGCAGTCTCTCCCCGCCGCCGTCTGCAGGGCTGGGGAAGCCCCTGCCCTCCCCTGCCCTCCCCTCCCGAGCCCCCACCTTGGCCAGGCGCCCCCATTCTCTGGCCGAGGGAGGAGGGGAGAGGACGAGGGGCGGCAGCCGGGTGGGGCCGCGGGGAGCGGCTGGGTCCGAGGTCTCGCGCTAGGCTGAGCAGGGTGCGGGCGCCGGCCGCCC